CCCTCAAAAAGGAAAACTATGCATGGACAGTTAGAGACACACGGTCCATCCTGGATCTTGTTACATTTCAAGACAGCACAATGTTAAAAGTACCTGCTTTCAGACTAAACAGCAAATGGACAGCCAAAACAATACACATAAAAAAATCTTCCCCAACTCTAGAGAAATTAGCTTTGTTAGATTTGTAATTCATCCATCACATTCTATCACAATAATAGTCTTCTCTAAGCATCCAGTAGCTGGCATTGATGGTTCTCAGATTAATTGGCCTAAAAGGGAACTTGGCCAGGATGTAAAACATCTGCAGAGCATTATGCTATTAATAATTCACCTGGAGAAGTGTCAAATATTTTGCTCCAAGTTTTTGTGCCTTGTCATGTGACTTCCCTGGGTGGTTTTGAAGAGCTATGGGGAAAGCCTGGATATGGGGATGGCACAGAATGCATGCCCTAGGTATTTATTGTTTTCCTTTACTTGCATGATTGTGTTCTGATCTTGTGCATGTTTCCTTACTCTGCATGGTGCTCCCATTTGCAAAATCCACCTTTTTTAATTTTAAAATGTCTTGTAGTGTATTTGCAATAATTATGGGCTAGCAAAGATGGTCACTGGACAAATTTACTCTGTCAAGGACCAAAATATGTGCGTCCTTGCCGCCCATCCTTACCTTGACTACCAGCGTCACCCAGTCATTTTTCTAACATGGAATTGTTTCTCTTCAGAATTTTATTTTGGCTAATAAAATTTCTTTATTCTATTTTTAATTATGCCCAGTAACAAACATTCTCTGGACAGATGAAAAATGAAAAGAATGAAATGACAATAAATCAAACAACAATTACCACCATGGGAAAAGATACCATATAAATACATAACAGCTGCCCTTCTAAGACAGTGCAGGCAGTAATCAATGGAATAACTGAAATCTAAAATGCCTGGGTGATAAAAGAAAGGAATGTACAGAACTGATAACAGTGTGGGTGTCAGGCAATAGTGCATTCATTTGGTCATTAAAAATGGCACCCACAAAATCAGTGAGACCAGACTTATTCATGAAAGTTTTCGTGGACCATCAGGCACATAAACTAAATTGTTTCATGTCTGTTAACTTTCAGAAGAAAAGTGGGGGGAAATCATGCATACTGTCATACCGCCTCCTCAAATACCCACCAAATCTTTCTCTGCTGGTAAAATATTCTTCAGTGCAGAGACCACTCTCCTATCCAGTCTCTCCAGGCTATCATTAATATAAATATTTTTTCATGATGAGACATGGTTGCTGATTGATGATGAAGATGCAGCCATTGTGACTAACTACAAGGAACTGTGACGGGGCAGTCCTACAGAGTGGCAAGTTATCCATTCGAAGTTATCCTTTATTGTTTAAATCCAATCAGTGGCATACCTCCCACAGTTGGGGATGGTGTTGCAAGATTTTGGTAAGGACTTCAACACCACTGGGAGCATCTTCTCTTGCTGAATCCAATACAAATAATCTGGGTCTAGCCACATGAAAGATTGCAGCATAAAATGATGTCAACACAGCACAGATCTGCACTGACTGGCTCTAGCCAACGTTTAATGTATTAACATACATCTCAACCACCTCTTATCATATTCCTAATTCATATCCTTCCTCCCTGTAATCACTATTGGATATGCTGTCAGCGTAATCTTGTTTGTTAGACTTATATCCAACTTTTCCTCAAGAGCTCAAGGTGTTTTCCAAAGGATCTCCCTTCATTTTATCCCAATACCTGCAACCTTGTGAGATAGGCTGGGTTGAGATAGCATGACTGACAGAGTCACCTAGCAAAACTCTATGGCTCAGGATGGGCTTGGACCGGGGTCTCTGTGCTCTTTGTCCAACACTTTCACCACTACACCACACTGGCTCTTTTGGAACATTCTGGAGTGGTGTCTCTATGGGGAATAGTCAATGACCATATTATTTCTGTTTCTGGGAAAATACTTCATCCCACACAACTCTTCCTGGTTTCCTCAAGCCACTATTAGACATATAACTTCTATCTCTGTGATAGAATGAGTAAGTTATAACATTTAAAATGAAAGCTGTTGATGTTCTGAACCAGCTTCCCCTTACTTATTGGGTATTGGGTGGGGGAAGGCTGTTTTGGACAAAGAGAAAAATGTTGTACAAGTCCAAAACTTGACAACAAATGAATCCTCCATGTTCATTTCCTCCATGTGGTGTAATGGTTAAATTGCTGTACTAAGACAGGAAACCCAAGTTCAAGTCCACCTTCAACCTCAGACACTTACTGGCTGACTTTCTCTCTGTCAGCCCAACCCACATCCCTTGTTTGTTTGAAGGGATAAAATTAAAGGCAAAAACGCTGCATGTGCCACCTTGATTTCCTAGAGGAAAGAAGGGTGTAAATCTAACAAACCATCATTATCTATGAAGTTTTCAAAAGAGTTTCATAATATAAATATGTGACTAAAATATGATAAATTATACATTAAAACACGCACGCACACACACACACGCTGTATCAAAATAAATCAACTGTATTATTGGCTTGTCAGAAAGCTTACCAGTGACCCATTAGATAAGATGTAACATTTCCTATAATTCGATTCACACTTGAAACAACGTGTTATTTCTTGAGATCAATACAACTTAGCCTCCATTTCAGAAATCCAAGGAAGGTGAAGTAAGACACTGGCTGAAAAGCTGATGCGAAGATCAAAGACACAAATCAACAAAGGGACATATTTGCAGTTGATAAAAACAAGGAGAAGAAACATTATTGAGCTGGCAAGGTTGTCTGAGCTGGTGAAAATAACAATTTTGAGAAAACTTTCTGCCTTGAAGTAATGATCCAGCAAAGTTTACCCTGACAAAACTAACTACAACTCAAATCAACTGAATATGAGGCAATTGCAGCTCCACTCTAAATTTTTTGTTTAGTCAACATTGTCTTTTGCTGAATGGTATATTGGATCTTTAATGTTTTGTGTGCATAAACCCCCCTTTATACTGGAGATTGGTGATTGAAGACTTTGAGTGATGTGTCTGTAATTTGATTGTTGTATTGTCTGCTGGAGTGCATGTCAATATTACTCAAATATTTCATGCTTGAGGTGTTAATTCTTATCCTGCTAAAAAACCCATTTTCATTGCTTCAGTACAATATTGCAAATGTGACTTTTCTTACCATGATGGTATTATCTTGGTTGATGTATGTTTCTTTGGTCCTAAACCTTTCCAAAGTCGATTGGTCTCATTCCAATTTACATTCTTGGTCTTTTGACCGGATCTTACATAATTCTGTCCTCAGCTATGCAGTATTATTTTTGCATGCCTCGTGAAATAATTTATATTGCTCATTGATCCTGCTGGGAAGATACAGGAAAGCAGAAATTTGCAAATATATGAAATATATATGAAGACTTGAACAATGAAAACAAGGAGGAAATCATGTTAATTTCTCTTACTAGAATGTGTTCCAGGTCTAAATGAAGGACTAGGGAAACAGTCCTCCATTATACTCTCAATAAATGTTCAAAGTAGATACTAGCATGCATCATGACCATATCAGAAAATGGGGAAAGGATTGTGCAGACCAGACCGTCTTGCAAGCCACCAGGCAGAGCATTTGTCCTCTTATCAATGTCTAGTAGAGAGAGGGATACCTTCTTCTGCCATATGAGTTGGACCATTTAGTACCTGAATTGAATTATTTGATGGTAATTGCCATCAGCCTTCCAGGATTTCATTGATTTACAATGTCTCATCAGTAAAATCTTGATCTCCAATCCAAACTGTATTTCAGTTTTAAATGACATTAGAATTTGGATAAGGATGCTGATTTCAATCAAACTGGTTGTGGTGATAGAAGATCATAATAGGCAGTGAATGGAACTGATGTATACAAGTGTTTGCACCAAAGTTTTGAACAAATGAATTGTTTCAACCATGTTGAGCCACATACTCATTTGGAGAATGTGATGTTTACACATATGACCATGAATATAATTGGCAGCAATTCTCATAACTATGTCCTAATATTCACGTCCACAGTACTTTGACTATGCGGTTCATAGATTACATTGTTCCATATGAATGCATACTCAAACATGTTGGAGTTGCTCATACCTATGGTGTGTGTGTGTGTGTGTGTGTATGTGTGTGTGTGTGTGTGTGTACAAACTGAATGTGAGTTTCAAAACATATTTTGGATATATTTGTTAATTAGAATAAAAACTCCCTTTTTCATTCTTGGCCTATCTAATAGAGCCTTAGCTATGCTTAGCTAAGCTATACATCTTAGAGATTTGATAAGCAATATTATATTAATTATTAATCAGAAGATAGGTTCCTATAAATATTAAACATGTAGTAAGCTCTATATAGTGGACTCTGAGCTGGCAAAAGCATTTTATGACAATAGCCATACATAAAATAATGCCCTTCTACATACATTTGATGACCAAAATAAACTAGGAAGCAGGAAACGACATTATGAAACCACCTTTTGTTCCAGAAATTGAATATTGCTTTAATGGCTCCATGTCAATGCAACAAAAGGGGCATTTCCCCATTGTGCTTTACCATCTGCTATAGGAAGTAGAACTCAAGTTGTGAGTCTGACAATTGTTTTCAGCTGCCAAAGGAAGGGAATCATATCTAGGTGAGAAGAGCTTAAATATCAAAAGCAATGCTAAATAAACTAGATACAATATCAACCAATCTTTATTATTAAAAATGGATGGGTAATTGAATAATTCCCCAAGTTGAATGAACTTGTGGAAAGTCTATTGGACCTGTCTTTTTTCCCCCTTTCTTTCTTTAATAAAAACACTAAACAGAAGGGACTTCCATAGTTACATTTATTAAATACGTTTACTGTTAAATTACCTTTCTTCAGAGTTCATATTTTGAGTTAGGAAGTGTCTAGAGCAACCAGTTTTTAGGTGGGGCATACAGCAGATCCTTTGTAATTAACTGTATGTTGTCTTCTCCTCCATCAAAGGTGGTAGTCAATGCCTTGGTAGGTGCCATCCCTTCTATCATGAATGTGCTGCTTGTCTGCCTCATTTTTTGGCTCATCTTCAGCATCATGGGAGTCAACCTGTTTGCCGGAAAGTTTGGGAAATGCATTAACAAGACAGAAGGTGATGAGCCTTTGAACTACACAATTGTCAACAACAAGAGTGATTGTCAAAACTTGAATGACACTGGAGAGTTGTACTGGACAGTAGTGAAAGTCAACTTCGACAATGTCGGTGCAGGTTACCTGGCTCTGCTTCAAGTGGTGAGTTTAAATTTCAGTAAGATTGTCCTTAGAAATGTCTCCTGACCAAGAAGATGTCCACTTGATTCAATATGAGATGTCAGATAATTAAATTTAGATAAAAATATTTTTGGGGAAAAAAAGCCCAAAGGAGAAGGAGAATGGTTTTTAGATTATGCAAGTATGGGTCACGTGATAGCAGATGTCCATATGGAAGGGTCATTCCTAGCACCCTGCCAAAATGGAGGAAATGCCTCTTCTAAGATCATGTCCCCTATCCAGAGTTCCTGAATCAGTATTTGATCTGACATGCATACATCTAAGGCTTGATTCCTGTGCTCTACAGTAGATGGATCTTCTGTGTGCATATTACCTCTTTCATATTTGCAATAAAAGTTACTTATTTAGCATATTCATAAAGTTTCTGTGATTAGCTGTTGAGTGCAGTATTACATTTCTGGAAAGAGGTGATTTATTGCCTGGTCTTTTGTGAAGTCTGACATACTTCTCCCAATATGTCTGGTGGTACATTATACTTTTCAATTATTCAAGGAATTTAGAAGCCCACATTTCAACACAGATCTGGTGCTTCCAGATGTGCTGGACTTCAACTCCCAGAATTCCTAGCCAATGTGACTTTGGTTGGTTGGTTGAAAACTCTGGAAATTGAAATTGAGTACATCTGGGAGGTATCTGCTTAGTGAAGACTGTTCTAAGGTTGCAGTATGATAAGAGCAATAAACTAACTTAAAAAATCAAACATCAGCACTGAGTCATAAAATACTGTCAGGAGCTATCATGTCAGAGGTGAAAAAAAATCTAAATTTGATGGCAAGTCAGCATTAAATGTCACGGACCTTCCTCCCATGGACCACAATGGGAGAGATAGCAAGAAAAAAATAATTGAGGACTCATGATTGCACTAAGACCAGAAGTATTTGCTTTAGCAGTAGTTCTAGTTTCTGGGGATTGACTTGTTCACAGCATCTTTTTCTTTTCATAGCATTCCAAATTATTTAGGAGGGTTACTGGATTAGTTATGGATAACTTGGAATATTTATGGATGCTTCCTTACAAATAGTGAAGTCAACTTTAGAAAGTTGCTACAGCCACAAGTAGGAATGCACTGTTTGCAACAAAAGGGCCACAGAAGGGCCCCCAATTCATAAATGTGACCTCTGGACATAAATGTGACCTGTGGAATATGAGAGGAGGAGGAAATTATGAAATATATTTGATTAATTATAAACTGATAATATTAATATTATAATTATTAATTATAAACATTTTTCTTACCCCAACCCACTACTTACTTTCCCCACTTTTTTTGGGAGGAATCACACACTGAAAAAAGTTGTGCACCAGAGTTTTGTACATAGTCAAAATGTACTGCTTACTGATGTTTTCTTCCTGTTTTCTCCTTTGCACATGAAATCATAACCATGCACCGTCACACATAAAGAACAATCTGCATCATTTTTTAAAAATGTTGCAGTGTAAAAAATGGGAGATTGCTGGTTTTCAAGCTTACATGAATGTTTGTTTCATACTTTGTAACTATGGCTTCCAATGCACTCTTGTCCATTGTCTTTGGAGATACTTCTGCATAGATGTTTCAGAGATGGTCCTACTGTCTGTGCCTCTGACTGTCTCAAGTCCTGGATGAAGGTGATGTTGGGGGGCTGGGTCCTCCATAGGGCTAATACTGTGGTCCAGGATAGAGGACAACTGCTTCTCCTATGCATCTCACACATACGGAATGTGGAGTCCTTGGGGTTCTCTGAGCTTGGTTCTTTTCTTGCAAGAAAAGAACCAAGCTCAGAGAACCCCAAGGACTCCACAGTTCAACCCTGAGCTACACATATTCGCCTCTTTTGGTACATATGGAATGCTAGCTCAGTCCAAGAATATATCCAACCTATGGATATCTTCAGATAGCTGTGAAACAGAGAAAGATGGTGGTAGTCTATTGTCAAGGCCTGTTTCTAACAGGTATAATCTGACTCCATTTTTTTCTTAGATAACTTTCATGCTCCTTAGTGATAAAGACATAAAGGAACTGCAGAGGTGCAGACTTTTATGTTAATCTGAATGTATGCAAAGTTGTCTTGCATTGCAGGTCTCCCTGTTTATTTCAGGCTGACTTGCCTATTTACCACATTGCAAATGAGGCTGTAAACCTTCCCCTTCTCTCTCAGCAAGGATTATCTCTGCAGTTCTTTCCTTCACATGAAAGAATCAGATTATAGTAGAAGGCCCATCTTTCCCTTCCTTTGGGATGAAACAGTTGCACTTAAACTCTTATATGCTTAAGGCTCCAGAGTGAATACATAGTCTGGTTTCCCATTTCTTTGTTGAAAGCTAAGCTAGCAAATATGTACCTTTTATATTGATAAAAATGGTCTCTTTAGGAAAGAAAGGCCATTTTATGCTGTTTTTGCAGAACCCAACTTTCTGGTACATTTAGTAGGGCATTGCATAGATCTATGTCATGACGCACCAAATATTTCTTGACAATGCACAATTTGAGCGCCAAACATTTTTTCTGTTTGTTTTTTCTGCTTGCAACGAGTAATATTGAGATAGGGGGCTTAAAATAGCAAGTTGAATTCTAACACAAAATAGGAGGCAAAATGCAGTGCCCACACTTAGTGGGCTTGTGCTGGATTACCAGACAGTATTCCCATTAGAACTAAGTCAAAATACTGGGCTACAATTTTGATTTGCTAGAAAATATTACATCTGTCTTTTCACCTTACTAGGCAAAATGTCTTGAACTGGCCTAGTCATGATTTGATGAAGAGCAGGGCCAACACTGGAAAACCAGACCTTACCATGCCTTCACATTATCTTCTTAATACCATGATACTACCTGGAAAAGCCAGGCTACTTTCAACCTGGTTTACAAAGTTCAGTGGCTAAATCACATTATATCTAGGTATGTTATGTGAACCAGTCCATCACATTAAGCCCTAGTGGGATATGTTTGTTCCAGCTTAGTGTATTATGAGAACACAGGTACCATAGTTTGTTAACAATGATTTGTAGTTCAATGTGTTGTTGAACCCAGCCATTATTGGGAAGATCTTGGGAAGATTAACAAGCCAGCCTTGGTAATAATTCCATTATGTTTTTTCAACAACAAAACACTATCTAGGTGGACATCCATGCAGAAAAAAGGGGATGACTTAGCAAAGGCATTTGTAGGCAGCTCAAAAATCCTACTTCCTTGAAAAACATTGGCTTTCTTTTTGTTTATCTTCCAGAGATGCACACTTGAGTAGAATAGGTGTTGATTATGCCTTCTGCAATCTTAAAAGCCAAAGGAGGGGGACTGAACAAAATTTTCTGTGAACATATGAAATTGACTCAGATCAGTAGTTGATGGATATTTAGCCAGCATTGTGACCTCTGATCTGTGGCTGCTTAGAGATTGGTTTTCCATTGCCTTGAGATCCCTTTGAATTGAAGATTAAATCTGCTTGCATGTAGTTTGCCACTGAATTATAGTCTCTTCCCAAAATAAGAGACTAGCCTTCAATGATGGGTGCAGGAAAATAAGCACAGTTCATGAATTAGCTCCTTACTATATCATCCAACATTTCATGGATGGAAATGAAGACTCCCGTTCTCTGTATCACTGCCTGAGCATCCCCATCTCCTGTGTTTTTGTTTCAGTCATGGGAGGCCATTTTGCTGTCTGTAGATACTGATTTAGGATTCAACATGCTGTCATCTATGGACTTAACAGCTTAAGGTTTTGTTCTTAAGATAATTGTCTTCCATGAGTTGAAATGGCACACTATGAACTGCATCCTTCTCAGCATTCCAAGTGTTGGAATAAGATGGACTATATGCGGGCAGGGAAGGTGGGACAGGGACCCCCACATCTACCTATCCTTTATCCTCCATTGCAGTAGATGAGAAAAGACCATGGAGCACACAGCCTTTATTAGGTCCTAGATAATGAGGTCATTAGCAGTGTGGTAAGCGAAACCAATAACCATGGCTGCTTTCAAAGAGGTTGATCCATTTCTATACATTTCATAAGACAGGAATCAGAGAAAGATGCCTTATACTAAGGGAAACTTTTGATTCATCTGGTTCAGGGTGATTTGCTCCTACTGATAATAACTCACCAAAGTTTCAAGCAGGGGTTTTCCCAGCCCATCTGGAGTTTTTATTTTTTATTATATTTTTATCCCACTTTTATTTTTAGTCAACTCAAGGCAGCCTACATATCTAATGCTCCCACCTCCTATTTGTCCTACATCAGCAACCTTGTGAAGTGGGTTGGGCTGAAAGACAGCGATTGAACCAAAGTCACTCAAGTAGCTTTCATGCCTAAGGAGGGACTAGAACTGACAGTTACTTGGTTTCTAGTCTAGCACCTTAGCTGCTACACCAAACTGGCTTTCTGAAGTTGTCAGGAACTGAGTATGAAGTGTGAACCTTTGCCATAAATTGGTCTTAATGAAGAAAGCTGTGTATTATCAATGGGAGCAGGGGAAGGTAGGCAGACTTACCAAGTCTCCCACTTGGAAAAGAATCAACATTGCCTCTGAAGTAAAGCTTCCCTGTTCCCCTTCCTGCTTCTTATCTCCCAATTTAGTCTTCTCATGGCTGAGCTGTAGCTCAATTTCATTTTCCTACAGTGTTGCTGGCATTTCAGATAGAGTTGCCAAGAATTGAGTTTTGCAACTTTGCTAACTACAAGTAGCTAGATAGCTCACATGTTTGCCTGGGTAAATGACAAAGATAATATCATCCACGTGAACAGTGGGGCTTTTAATAGACTAGGGAAGGGAAAGAACCAAAATCAAAACTAGCTTGCTTCTATTTGTTGACCGCGGGCACCGCTACCAAGGCATAACTTTTTGACTTTTAAGTACAGTTTGATATTATGGCCTTGTAGGTTTATCAGTTGGATTCATTTTTTATTTTGATTGACAACTGGCATCAGTCCACTGGTTGTGAGCTCAAGGATGTTTGCTGGGTACATTCCCCTTCCCATAAAAATGAAATCTTCCCCTACTAGTATTCCCTGAAATAAATTCATCAACAGTCTAAACACATTCCACTCTCTCACCAGCATCAACACTGATTTCAATAGGAGATAGTATTTACCTGGATGTCTTCCAGGAAGGAGAGTATCACACAACACGCCACTGAAGTTTTTGCCACCTCCAAATCGGGACTGTAAGTGGCTCCTAATTCCCTGATATATTTTTTTTCTCCCTGGCCTCATTTTTCATGCTATCATCACTTCTTTGCAAAGGTGTCTTGTGAAGAATTCCAGAACTCCAAAGAAGCTTTAGATTATCTTACTGCTGCCTTCCCTTGGGTGGAAAGAGAAGGGAACCTTTGCTTCAACAGTTCTGCCTTCCATCAGTATCTTGGCACTATCCGATCAATTCATGAGCTACAATGACTTTTTTAAAATGATAAATGCCACATTTCTACTCCATCTGGAATTTAGCTCAAATAACACCCCCAGGATGAAAATGTCATGCAGAGATATGCAAGACTGCTCCTGTGGTGCAAGGAAAGATTAGGCACACTTTGAAGGGTGTGCTACAGAACCTTTTTCTTCCTGCCCTAAATTTTCAGAGCAGAAGAAATGGTTTTAAGTGAAAAGGTGTTGTAAGAAACTCAAATTTCTAGCCACAAGGTTTACAGAAACATCAGGAGGCAGGGGAAGAAATTATTAAACCACCTGCAGAAGGATCAATATGTAGGATTAGTTCATCATTTGTTTCAGAGAAACAGACTATTACATCATCTGTTCTTCTAAGCTCCAGTTGGTTGGGTTTTTTTTTTTAAATCCATGAATGAGTTTGTCCATTTTCCCAGGATCTATATCAATATTTCCATAACTATCGCCTGCCTTCCTTCCTTCCTTCCTTCCTTCCTTCCTTCCTTCCTTCCTTCCTTCCTTCCTTCCTTCCTTCCTTCC